TAGATAATTTGCTTCGAAAACCCGTCATAAAAAAAAAAAAAAAAACATTTTCATACATGACAAGTAAAACATGTGAATCAAGTACTTTTTACAACACAAAATAACCCGAGTAAGTTTTCAACAATAAAAACTCATGTACATGAAATAGACTTAGAAAAGGATTTCCTGTAGTCTCTAGCCCGCTTGTCTTGTCCTCAATTGACCTGCATCTTCTTTATCTGGTAAGAAAAGTTAAAATAATCATGATGAGTACTTAATTAATTTACTTAGTAAGTAGCTAACTTGTAATTCACAAGTTTATTACTTAGACTCCTCTTTTTATTCCCCATTGGATCCTAGTTTGTTTGAGTAGGATCCTTTGTTCGTTAATAAGGTCTTTCAGCTACTTCTAGCTTAGGTTAGTGGCTCTTTCTACGCTTATTTAGAAGTTTTGGACTCGTATGTAAGACTCGCTCTCAGTCAAATACCATGTCTACTAATTTTTTGGCGGCATATAACATCATATATACTAGCTATCAGAAATACTCATTGTTTTTAACTTAACACACAGCACGTCAATTAGGAACTCAGTAGAAATTAGTAAACTATAATACTCATATATATAGTCCATAGCACAATAAACTATAATACTCATTTAATTCCAACTATATAATTGTGTTTCTTTGTAATTTTAGAGTTAAGAACATGAAACCCAGAAAAAGCACACAGCAAACCCACGACTTTGAGCTTAAATTTATGGGTGTACGCGTAGTTGGCGGTTGATGAAATTATTTGAGCAGTTTTGTTGAACAGTGACCATAGAGGAGCCAATGAAGTTTCAAATTAAAGTTCATTTACATTTTGGATGATTATTGATGGGTTGGAAGTGTTTTGATGAGATCTTTAACTTTCGCGAGGCCGCATGTGAAGCACGTTCGAGCTTTTTTTTATCTGATTTCAATGTCATTCATAATTTCTCTTATTGTAGGACATTTTGGATTGGAGCAAGTTAAAACGTTTTAAGATGTTTTTAGCGGATGAAAAGATCACCAATGCGTGTAAGTAGCTATTTGAATCCACCTATTTTATGCTTATTTATTAAATAAGCATGTTTATTATTTATGATTAAGTTAAATATTGAAACGCATATAAGACCATGTTAGAGTAAAATGAGAGTTATAGACTCTAAGTAGTCCTTAACGATACTTAAAGTAAAATGATACTTAAGGCTATTATAGTCGGTGTATACTTGTATCTTTTATCCATACTAATCTATATTTCAAAGCAAATACTACTGTAGATAACTCCAAGACATGCTTTAGGTAGTTATGCTTGTACTTCTTTAATTTTGGGGAGGCATATTGTTAAAGATATTTAGTAATAAATTATAGTTTACTATATATATTATATTTGATATTTTATTATAAGGCAAATATTAGATATTTGCCTTATTATCATAGGTATCTTTCCATTTATTGTTATTTCCATTTATTACTATTTCCATATCCTTGTAATTTATTTGATTATAAATAAGATAACTTTCACACCATTTAGGTGTGGTGGATTAATCAAACATTCACACATATGCTATTACCTTATTGTTTTGCATCAGCACAATATCGCAAAGAAAGTACGAAGCCCTAGGCATAGACGTGCAGTGTGTTGCAGAGAATACATAAAGCTTATGGCAAAAGTATCCTGACTCAGACTGTGTCGCAGGGGATGCATGACATCTCGAACATAGGCTATGTCATAAGGGACGTACGAAACCTTAAACATAGGTCAAGATAGAGTTGTGCACCGATCATAGAACCCTAAAGATCTTCTTCCAAGGGAGTGTTTAAGGGACAAGAACCAAGAACCAAGGACTTAAGAACTTGGTCTCGAGATAAAACTATGTTATCAAAATTCATGACCAAAACCTAAGGACCAAAGTTCTCAAGACAAGATCCAAGATGTGTATCATGATCTTATATATAGCCACAAATATGTGTCATTCACACTATACTCAATTCATCCAACTTGACCTAAGACGTTGCAACAGTAAGTCCACTTACCTCATTGGCATAAACTAAACAAAGTCATTTAAGTTAAGTCGAGTCGCGGGGAACTGCACAAGTTGAGATCATGCCGCCAAGTCAAGGAGACAACTGAGCCGAGCTGATAGTAAGCTGCACATGGAGGGCAGCAACGTTAGTTCGGGTCAGGTGCAGATTGAACATGGGCCAGCACGAGTTAGGTGCAGATCAGGTGTGGGCCAATGCTGGTAGCTGGTAGGCTGCGGCTTGGGCCAAAGCGAGTAGGTGACCGGCAGCACCTTGGGCCACACATAGATTGGGTTGTGGGCTGCATCATGTGTTGGATGCATTTTTGGGCCAAGGACGATCTATTGAGTATGTGGGTCGTTGGGCTAGGAGTTCGAGCCTAGCATGGTTTGATTCTAAGCCTACGGTTCGGCTGGTCAACCTACCGAGACTGAGGTTCAGGCTCAGGGTCGATTTTCGAACCTAAGGTCTGGATCGCCTCCTTTCTTCTCTACTATTTTTCTCTCGTTTTGCTCCTATTTTCAGCCAGCTTTTAGTCACTTTTTATGACTTCTTTATGATGAATTTAACCCAGCCCTCAGCAACGCACAACCCAGGTTCAACCCGCGTGCCCAACCTTCCATTAACCTGACTCATCCCAAACCACGACCCACGCGCACCTAATTCGTGACCCATGAATGACCCGCTTACTTGATCTAAGTCGTGACCCTTAACTCACACATTACGGCAACTCCCTTCACTTATTCAACTCGAATTTTCTATTTTGAACTCTGTTGACGACAATTTAAGATCTTTTTCTATCAGTTTGGACCATCTCTAAACCATTTTTTATTGAAGCATTTAAGATTAGTATTACTATTATTTAGTCAATTTAAAATTATTGAGACTAATTTAAATTAATTCATGTAATTAGAATAAGTCATTTTCCATAATAATATTCTAAAATATGATGTTATGAAATTTCTTAGGTATAATTGGATTTTAAGGAACCACTTCACGCTAGCATTAAAGAAATATAGTGACTCTAGCTTAAGCTAATCAAGTAAGTTGTTTTACTAATAGGATACCCACGAGTTTGATTGGATGACTTGTGTGTTACATGAATGACACATACCTTGCTTGTTATCCTTGTACTTGTCATATCTTTTTACAATGCTATGTTATGATTATGTTATAGTATGAAACGAATGTTACATGTTGCATTTACTTCCATGTCATGCTATGCATATTATGTTAGCATGTGCATACTATGCCTACTAAACATTGATAAGTCATATATGTCAACCATGAAAGACATGTCAAGTATATGTATGGATGTCTCATAGGAACGTTGTGTAATGAAAAGAATGGAGGTATGATTTGTAACATAAGTATGTACCATGATTAGAAATTATGGGATCTCATGTATTTTGTATGTTACGAGCATCGAAGTACTTTTCCAAGACACATACATTATGATATTATACGAGTTTCTTTTCCTCTATAGTTTTCAACAGAGTGAGTATAGGCTAGTCCATAGTCAAGTCGAGGGGTACGTATACGAGTCCGCTTAATGGATCCAAGAAGTATTACATATCCTACGTTGCTCGAATTGAAAAATAGAGTCCAAAAATTTTTTTTATGAAAAGATAAGTCCCATTATTTCTCGACGACGCACCAACTATTGAGTATTTATAAAGTAAGACACGGTTAATAAGAAGGTATTAAACACAAAACAAAAATTAAAAGTAAAAAAAAAAAATTGAAAATGAGAAAGCGACGGGTGAGAGGCATTGAACACAGCCAGAGAAAAGGAAAAGTTGATTCCAATTTCCTTCTTTCCTTTTCAATTGTGTTCTTATCCATTTGGAGTCTCATTTATTCGCCCCAAAATAATTTTATATTTATTTCAATTATTTTTTAAATAAAAAATGCTCTATTATCTATAATTAACTCTTTTATTATTTCCTTAATTTATACAAGTTTTTTTTAGACTAAATCACGTGGAAAAAGAATAAATAACTTTTCAAAAAGTAAAAAGAAAAGAGAGAGTTGATCCAATTTGAATATGAGATAAATATCACGATAACCAAACTATCTCGTTTTTTTTTTTTGGAAAGAACATGATGAAATAACCATATAAATATCCTAAATATGGTGAGGAAAAAAAATTTTACGAACAAAAAAATGAATAATAAAAATTGACAGATGATTTAGACTCAAATTTAGAGGTAAAAAAAATTATAATATTATATTATTTGATACAGTCGGATCGGACTAAAATAGTTTATATAAGTTAAAAAGTAATTTTCTTCTAAAAAATTGGTATTCCAAACTATTTTTTAAAATATTATTAAAAAAATAAAAAAGTAATCATATTAAATCATTAGGTTTTTTAGCTTTAAATTCTTTTATTTTAGATTTTATATGATTCGTAGCTTTCATTGGAGAATCGTGTTACAGGTTACAGGTTACAGTACACTTGGCTGGTGAGTGGGCAATCCACATGGCACAAAGTGGAGTGTATAAGAGGGAATTGAGATTATGACGTGTCTTATTTTTATTGGATAACTCTAACCACCAATAACAAATATGCCAAATAATATAAATACAACTGCCATCACATCATTTTTTCCCATTTCCATTTTTTTTCTTCTTTTTTTATTTTTTGTAAATGAGAAAAAAAATGATCCCGTAAAAGAAAATTTAAATAAAAGAAATAAGATGTTTGGCACAACAAGAACAGGTTGATCAGTATCATCTTGACTGAGTTCTGAATTAGGATAAAACTTTTGTAGCTTTGACCTGGAACGATGTAGCAGTATTCAATTTCAACTTTCATTTCAAGTCATGGTCGTTCTTTAATTTTAAATTTTTTTATAATGGATTGAAAAAAAAAATTAATTTTTTAAAAAATTTGTAATTTAACCAAAGTTAAAAGCAAAAAAAAGGGGAAATTGTCGGAAGGGCACAATAGGAGGAAGAAGTTTTAAAGCATTAGAACGTTGATGTGTGGCGCACCGTTTCATTCCACAGCCTTCCATTTTCTTCAACGACAACCCAAATCCATGGAGTCCCACTACATTCAGAGGTACCACACCCACAATCCCACCCACAATCAGTGCTCCTCCGCCGTTTTGACGCACATTAATGCTCCCGTTCACCTCGTACGTCTCTCTTTTCCATTTAATTTCAATTTGCTTCACTTTATTTGAATCTTTGTTCGTGGAGTGGTAATTTAGGTCGTAGATTGAACACTTCTCTTAATTTGTTTCGTAAATCGAGGGGAATCGATTCGCTCTCTGAAAATATTGGGATGAGTTTTACTGTTAAATCTCTTGAAGTATTTGTATGGATGTGAAATTTTGGTGTTGATTTGTAAGGTTTGGTCGCTGGTTAGGAGGTTCGATCGGCCACAGAGGTACAAGCCTTTTGTTAGTCGGTGTGTGGTGAGGGGAGATGGCCTTGGAATAGGGAGTCTTAGAGAAGTTGATGTCAAATCTGGGCTTCCAGCTACTACCAGTACTGAGAGATTGGAGCTTCTTGATGATGAAGAACATATACTTGGAGTCAAGATTGTTGGTGGTGATCACAGACTCAGGGTATTGCTATTTACACTCCTCTGTTCTTGTTTTAGTGCTTGCTGTTCATAATTTTCCTTCATAAATATTGCAAACTTGACCATATTATACTACTACTGTGAGATCCAACCTCGGTTGGGAGGAGAACAAAATACCCTTTATAAGGGTGTGGAAACCTCTCGCTCACCGACGCGTTTTAAAATTTTTAAGGGGAATCTAAAAAAGGAGAGCCCAAAGAGAACAATATTAGCTAACGATGGAATTGGGCGGTTACAAATGGTATTAGAGCCAGACATCTGCCTCGAGGGGGTGGACGCAAGGCGGTGTGCCAGCAAGGACCCTGGGCCCCAAAGGGGGTGGATTGGGGGTCCCATATCGATTGAAGAAGGGAACGAGTTTTAGAGAGGATGCTGGGCCTCGAAGGGGGGGTGTGACTATGAGATCCCACATCGGTTGGGGAGGAGAACGAAACACTCTTTATAAGGGTATGGAAACTTCGCTATATCAGACGCGTTTTAAAAACCTTAAGAGGAAGCTCAAAAGGTAAAACCTAAAGAACACAATATTGGCTAGCGATGAGATTGGGCTAGTTACAATTAATGATCCACGGAAAATGAAAATGACAATATAGGGCTTCAAACTCAAGATGGCAAACTATTTCAAGAAAATAGGTTAGAAATGTTGATATTATGACAGGAACTTTGATTTTCACATGTATTTTCAATACTAATGTAAGTTGAGCAACAAGTTGAGAAGATTTGAAATTCTTTCTTTGGCCCTAAATTCTGTGCAGAACTACTCTTCGATTATCACCGTCCATCCCGAAGTTATCGATGGAAGACCAGGGACACTGGTGATCGAGTCATTTGTTGTGGATGTACCTGAGGGAAACACGAAAGAGGAGACATGTTTCTTTGTACATTCCCTTATAAACTGCAACCTCAAATCACTGGCTGATGTCTCCTTGAGGATGGCCGTGCTGCAGGATGAAGTCGAACCGATTCATCAGTGTCAGGTATAGTCGAACCAATCGATTTTTGTAGGTTGCAGCAGATTTGGCATCTCATTGGAGACTCACCCAGTATCCTCTACTGATTTTGTTATCATATATAGTTTCAGCATTGTTCCTTTCTTTTGGTTTTCATTGTAAAATATGTATTATGGTTTAGAGATGGTTTGATGAGTGTATGGATACTTGAGGTGTTATGTATATAATATGAACTTTGAGATGGTAATGCCAATCACTTTGTTTTTGCTTGTGCTACAATTTCTGATGCCATCTTTTAGTTTTACATAGGAATTGAACTTATTTTGAACAAGAACTTTCTTCAGTATCTCTATTTTAGTTCCCATATACATTTGATATGCATTCCAATATGGTCAATCTTTTAAAGGCATACTCCTGGAAACAAAATGTTCTATAAAAGAAATTGAGTGAAAAAATGTACAAATACTCTTAGTTTGTCTTATTGAGACACATGTTTTCACAGTTTAAATTTCAACAATTTTAGTATGGATTTAAGAAAACAAAATTTGTAGTGCACGTTTAAGAAATCTAGATTTAACAAGCATATGTTTATGCTATAATTCCTCAAAAACCTCGGTCGCACGCCAAGATCCATGACCGTTCAAGCTTGGAACCACACCGTTCAGGAGTGATTTTCTCTCTTGAATCTCTCTCAATTGTTGGTTTTCAGGTTGTTTTTTCTCAGAGTCTCTAAGCCTCGACTTAGCCGATACTAAATTGACCCTACATTATGCTCATCGTCGTATCTTGATCGTCGTATCTTGACCACTACCATCGTAGCTTTACAATTATATTTCCTTCACTGAGCAATTTTGGCACCTGAATCACTAAATCACCACCACGAAGCCATTAGAGAAGGAAATCCTAAGCACGCACAGATGACAGTGTAGTAGGTCGGTTCAACATTTAAATCAGTTTGGTTCGTGGTTTAAATTGGTTTGATCAACATGGTGTGATTTAAATCTCATTCAACTCTAATTTATATACTTCCTTATTTAAAAGAGAGAATGAGCTTGTACTGACCTTGTTTCGTCAAGAAGAAAGGGTACTAATAAAAAAACATTTTTTGTAATTGACACATGCTTTTGTTAAACTCCCATAAGAACCATATTTTGACTTTTATCCGGAGAATATCCAATAACCGATTCCATTGAGTGAATAATTGGACCCAGATTCTAAAAAGAACAAAGCTTTTGAATAAGCCTGAGTAATCAAATGAAATAAAGCAGCTCAATAAGACTCTATACCCATCGATAAGACCCTATACCCATAGCTAACATCATATATAACCCAATTGAGACAGTGTACAGTGTAGGTCTGAATTAGAACTTGAAATTTAAGAGAGAATAAGCTTGTACTGACCTTGTTTTGTTTCGTGAAGAACTAGTCTGAATTAGAACTTGTAATTTATGGACTCTCATTCTGATTGTTGGATTTTCATTGCTGCTCACTCATTCTAAAACCATATATGCCGTAGATTTTCTGGTCAGTGACCTCTTTTTGCAAATTCAAGATTTTCCAGGGACATTTTTGCTAGATATTATATTCCTAGAGATTCTATTTTTGCGTATCATATACAAAACCTTACATTAAACTACTCTTTAGTTTCTTTCAAAACCTTGCTAGGTCATTAAAAATATCTTTTCTTGAACTTCCCCAAAGTTTCTTTACTTTTCTCGAACATCCTTATCTAACTCGAGTATTACAAAGACCTTATTTTTAACTCTTTGTACATGAAAGGAGATGGTTGTGTGGTTGAGGTCCATATATCCACCAAGAGGTTGCTCAACCCATTTCACCATTGTCTCTATGTCCTAAGCATCATAGATATGCAAGCTTTACTTCAATTTTTCTATCAATACAGACCATAATTACATTTAAACACAATTCTAAGATTCAAGGACTAAATTTAGTATTAACTAAAAATTTTATCCAATATGTTAACAGTAAGCAATGTAAAGACAATGCTTAAATTTAAGCTCCCATGGCATCCAAACTCGTATTGAAACCTACCTAATGTTTACCAACCGAAGTGAAATTCAAAGAGTAAACAATATGCACAAAATATATTTGAGTAAATAATATGCATAAATATACAAGTTTATACCTCTCACCATCTTTCTTGGGGCCGTCCATCGGGTAATGCAGGAGGAGAAAGAAGCCTCTGATCAGCCATGTCCAAGTTATTGATCTGTTCATCAATCCAGTCATCCTCACCATCGTTGTCGAATTCATCATCGTCATCGTCGACATCAGACCATTCTTCACCTCTCATATCATCTCCATGATTGGTTTCTCGCCAATCCGTGTCACTTTTGGGAGCTCCTCTGCCTTTTAATTGAGGAACAGCCACAAGACCTCGAAACTTCTCCTTTACGATTAACAACCGATCTTTGTCGATCAACTGAGAATCGCGATATGCTTCTCTGAGGAAAACTGAGTTTTTATCCCCTTTCAACGAGACATAAAACATATTGGGATGCCTTATTAGCATCCCCCTCAACTGCTGGGAGAATCTAAACTCCTCCCGGAAATGAGTGAAATGATCAACAAGAGTTCTCTTCTCAAGTGTAAGGCTTAAAATCTCATGAACAACCCCACAAGCATGTTTCTCTTTCTGGGGAGTACCTGCCGTAATCCCTGAGAAATCAGAATACGGAGAGATATAAGGAATGTCCCTAAACTCATTCATTTTCCTCATCTCATTCTTCGAAAGCTTAAGCCCCTTAGGTAGCTTCACTCGATTAAACTTCAACGGTCGGTCAATAATCAAATTCTTCTCTTCCAGTTCTCTAGCTTGGTTCTCCTCATCGGCTAACTCTGCTGCAGAAACAGCAAGTTCAGGATCCCAGTGTGTCAATTCGAGAGCTGGACCACTCTCGGTCGCCACAACTCTAAAGTATTGAGGATAACGATGGCAAATCGTGTCACGAAACTCGGAAGGAAGACCAAAATCAGTCCTCAAATGTGCAATTTTCTCCAACAATATTCGCTTATCAGCAGACATCATCAGTAACTTCCTCAGCTTAGTAACCAACAAACCTTCCATTTCATTTCTGATCTTCATCTCCTCGAAGTACAACCTTTCAGCCTCTTCCGTCAATTTAAATTTCAAAGAAAACGCTTCTTCTTCTACAATCTCAAATACTGCAGGGAACATCTTCAACAACTCAATTAGCCTCGTCTTTTCCTGTACACCTAAATCTCTCCTGAATTTACCCAAACCCCTAAGTGACATAACATTATCATGATGTTGAACTAGAATCTTCCTAATCCGAGTAACCAATTTCAGCTTCTTATCCCTCTGTATTACATTATCAAACGGAAGCTCCTTCCTCCATTTCACACCAGCTCTAATCGGTTGAAAATACACATGATATTTTCTTGAATTATCACTCAAACTATCATTTCTGTTTCGAAAATCCAAATTCTTACCCCAAAATTCAGATTTAACAGAAAAGTAAGGTCTGTGCGGAAGAATGAAATGTGCGAACATGGATAGCGAAGCTCTAGGGGAAAATAGAGCAGTAAAAAAAGAAGATGATGATCGGAGAACACACCTGGTCAGCTCCGGCTAATTGAAGGGAGAAGATAAGGGTTTATCTTCATCGGGTAAAACCCGTCTTCCATATCCGTAGAGAGAATTTCGTGGGGGCTGTAAAAGCCTATAAGGAAAATATAGATTTATTATTCAAACTTAAAATAAATAAATAAATAAATAAATAAATAAATAAATAAATAAATAAACAATTTGATTTTTTTAGTTTTGTTCATTTTCTAATAATTTCTTAGTGCAAGTAACCGTTTTTTGTACTTTGTTATTTATCATTACTTTGTTATTATTGACGTGATACTATATTTTTTTTATTAAAAAATAATTTAAAATTTGACATCACACCATATTTTTATTAAAATATATTTAAAATGTTTTCTTAAAAAAATTTTAAAATTTTAAAATAAAAACTATATTAAAAGGAGGTAGATCAAAGAAGGAATCTAGTAGACATTTGCCTTGGGTCCAAACCTTAGGGTTTTTGAACCTTAGCTTCCATAGGCCGATCCGTTTATGACTGAACCAATCCAAGTTGGAAGCCAAACCTAACGTCGGCAAAGCCTGACTCGTTAGCAACCCAACCCAAACCGAACTGTTGCAACCCATCTCACATGCCCCTAACCACAACCCACGACTGACCTGCATACCTCCAATCAATCTAGAAATGCGACATGCACCCCAACTTTGGCTTGATGCATTCAACTCGAATTTACCTATTCAACTCGAATAGTAATATTTTGAACCCTTTCCTCCCATTTTGGACCCTTCTATGGTCGTTTTTAACGTAATTGGGAGTGTTTGAGGTTTTTGTAATTTCAAGATGATATTCTAAATATAATGCTGTGGAATGGAATTGGGTTTTGAGATGCAAGGTTTTTAAGAATTGAGAAGTACAGTGGACTTATTGTTGATATGTCTTACAAGCTTAATTAGATGATTTGAGTGATGCATGAATGACACGTACCCTATAACCATTTCTTACGCATCATTTTCTATTGTTATGATCCTACTTTTTCACTTAAAAATAAGGTTGCCACTACTAAATGTGAAAACCATTTAAAAAAATTTATTTTAAGCATTATTATAGACTTAAACCTTCACAAACTTCATCTAAATTTGAAAAAGTAGCATCAAAGAGATAGTGTAGGACTAAAACTTAAATGAAAAAAAAACTATGACTTTATTTTCGTGGCTTTCGTAGCAACACTGTCATCTATATATGAGTGTCTTACCTTTACTTAAAAAAGTAGAAAACGTGAATTTAGAGTAGCTTCATTGTTGGAGTCAAAACATAATCATGGTTCACCGTTGGGCCTATCTTTTCATAACTATTCCTTGGCTTTACTTTCTCTTTCAAGTAGAGTTGATGAGCAGAACTTTCTCTTTACGTGCACATTAACTCGAAAGACAGGCTTGTGTACATACTCTCTAAGCCTGACTATGACTAGTTCACACTCATGCTAGTGAAAACCAATAGAAAAAAGGAGCGTGTATCATATCATAGTATATGCATCCGGATAAAATACATTGGAGAAGCATCCCATGCTTGTGACACACTATGTATGATGTCCTGTAGTTCAAAATATAATACATGGTTATGATGCACATCACACTTTCATTCTTTTCATAACATTGCTTCCATATAAGAAATAATGTATAGATGACATTAATTTCATTATTATCCTACTTGATTAAGCAATGTTTAATAGCCATAACACGAACACGGTATCATACCTAACATAGCTTAGTGAAAGTACATGCACCATCAACTCTAAAAAGAGCGACACTCTGGGACTACAGAAGTTGGGAGCCTGTGACAATTCGTAACAAAGCGAGGTAGAGGAGAAGGCGGCAGGAGTGAATGTGAGTTATCTCTATCAGTTGTGGGTCAATACAAAGGGGAACCTTGCTGTATCAGGGAAGATACAGCAAACCAAATGGATTTGGTCGATAAGGCCAGATGATGGAATCTATGTGAGAAATGGTTCTTGAGATCACAAATATATTTTCATAACTAAGGCCTGGTTGGTAGAATTCTTGCTTGATTTTGCCATTCATGGGTATAGTTTAATTGGTCTTACAAGTTCAACTGTCTACCCCTTTATGTTGTATGAGAAATAAAGATTCTAGTTAACTCTTATCAACCAAATATCTTCTACTTGTTCAAAAGAAAAATACCCAATAAAATCGTTAAAGTAGGAACCATATTCGAACCATGAAAAGAAAAGCCAAGTATTATGTGACGTGATATTATTTAAAACACAGACTAACTCATATGAACCTACGCACATATTAGATCATAAATATGATCTTAGGCCAAATTCTTTGTTTTGGCTTGATTTTCTGGCTTCGGTTAGGATTTTATTTTTATGGTACTGTCCATAAATATAGTCATTTTTACCTAATAAAGTACTAAATTTCCTTACCCCTCCAAACTTATTTTCTTTCAATTTATCATGGAGTTTCTATGATTAAACCACCTAAAAGGAAGATGTACATTTTAGTATAGGTTGTAACTTTTATTTCCTTTAAGACTTTCTTAGTCATCCAATCTTCAAGATCATTCTCACTATGATGTGGTCTCGGTGCATTCATGTATTCTTCCTTTACTCAGGTGTCACATACCCACTAGCTTCATCTTTGGTTTATTCTTGAATCACATTTTACTATAAGAGCAATCATTTTGATACCAACTGTAACCACTCTAATTTTCTACTAAAACATAAATATATCATATATTATCGTAATGCAGCTAATATTCATTATTCTTGTATTCCATGGATAGAATTTAGTCCTTCACACACTAATAATCAAAACATAGTTCGTGTTCTTATTAACACTTAATTCTTGAGATTCTCTTCTTTGAGGTCTTCAAATTGCTCATTGAGCTTCAATTCTTTGGTTGCGAATTTAATATATATGCATAAACCGAAGAGGTGTTGCTTTGTGTTAAAAGGCTTCTCTTTAATACCAGTGGTGACATCCCTTCAACTTCAACTGCAATAATATTTAAACATGTTTGATAAATATAAACCAAATTGTCACAATTTTTTTTCCCTAAATATATAATGTAAGATCCCACTTTGATTGGAGAGAAAAACAAAACGTTTACTAATAAACGTGTTTTAAAATCTTTACGAGAAATCCGAAAGAAAAAACTCAAAGAGACAATATCTATTACCCGTGAGTTTCAAAATGCTTTAAACAGTTAGACTTGAAATTGGGAAAAAAAGCCCAAAAGAAAAATATCTATTAAGAGTGGATTTGGGCTGCTACATGCTACATGTGGTAAGCTTACCTGGTTTTGTCATTAACATTAACCTAAATAGAAGTCAAGAATTTATGAAAATATTTAGGTCAAAATTTAGAGGTTTCAATTTTATATTGATGACCCTTATGCAATAATAACATCAAACTTGTTTGAGAATTACAGAAGTGCGAATCTTTAATTAACGGTATGATTAAGGATAGTAATTATAAGTGTTATTTTGGAAATAGGTACGAGTAGTTTATTGTTTAGACTGGTTTGAGATGTTAGAAATTTCAAAACTTTCCAGTAGAATTAGAATTATTGTGTAATATCCTTACAATATAAAAAATGAATAGGCCGGTTACGAATAAAGGGACTAGCAAATAACCTAGAACCTCATGCTATTCCTAATGAGCCAAATAGCGAGAACTAATGAACCAAAAGATCCCCGACTAGACTAAATGATTAAAAACTATGAAGTTATAAAACTAGAACCTTAATTTGAGCTTGAATAAACTAGTAGAGCCTAGATGCCAGATATGTGACAACTAGGTATATAATAAAATACAAGAATGATGTAACAAATGTGAATGACAAATGACTTATAAATAAATTTAGAGCCTACAATTGTAACACCCTTATCTACTTATTAAAAATAGGGTGCCACTACATGCATGACGTGACCAATGCGTGCATGTAACGACCCTAGATTTCTACTTACCTAGAGTCACTGTTGTCATCAAAGAGTAATCATTTTGTGCAGAAATAAGAGTTTAAATTTTATCATAAAACATAAACATCATCTTAAAATACTTTATGGACTTTCTTGTTGGAAAACATCCTTAAAATGACACATCAAAATACTAAATGAAATAAATAAACATTAAAAATTAAAATATCATATCCTAACAATAAATGTAACTACCCAGTGCATGCGTCATCGTGGTCTCGAATTGTGACACCATCCTCAGTCGTACAAGGATGTCTTTCCTTTACCTGAAAAATAAGATTAGCACATGACTTGAGCATGAAATGCTCAATAAGCGACCTCCTGTTGGGGTTAAATGCGATCACATACAAATCATGAGTAGGGCCTAACATATTAGTCTATTTTTCTAACAAACAACTTGGATAGGTACTTAGTTTTCCTACACACGTTCCACACGTGCAAGCATAGACCCACCAGTCGATTCGCACACCTTCTGGACCCTTTTCTGGTCGGGCGAGCATTCCCTGGTAGCTGTTGATGCCAGACATCCATTAGGAAGAGCGACGTCGCGACAACATTATGATAAACGTAATGATGATTCCCCTGCTTCGTAGCGTACGCGTCTATAATATTGTGAAGGAATAAGGGATATCCCCGATGCATGAGCACACAATAATGCATGATGTCCCAACATTTTTCCATTATCATTAACACTTAATACACAATAATGCATGAGATTCCAACCTTAAACGCTTTCGAATAATTGAAACTAAGAAGAAAGAGTCGAATGTATCAGAACGATCAGCCAAAATGCTAGTCTTGAGCTCTAAGAAAGTGCATCTCATACACCTTAAGTACCATGTCTTTTAATGAATAGTCTACATTAAAGATAAGTATTTCACATCACATTGATATATATTTGCATTTGTCGAGAGTCGAACCCGGGTCTATTGTTTGGAATCCCAACTGTTGGACTACAAACACTTACAAAAAATTACATCTCATACCTTAGGTACTATTGGTCTTCTAATGAATAGTATGTTGATATAAAATATAAAACAAACAAGAAATGATGAAGACACCTTGTTAACATTTAAGATAAGCACCTCACACATCACATTGATCTATATTTAGTTTGCTAAGAGTCAAACCCGGGCCTATT